AGATTGCCACAACTGAAGCATACCGCTAAACTAAGTTTGTTTTCAAAACAAACCATTTGCACACTGAAAAAATTTTAATTCAAACAACCATTTTCCATAGAATTTTAAGAAGGCCAGACATACAAAAGAGCTGCACTAAATGTTTATTATTATGAAATTAGGAACTTCCGAATGATTTTCATAATAGAATGATTTTCTGCACCATGTAAATACCCATATCAAACTACATCTTGTATACTACTTGACTAACTTCACATTTGTATAAATATATGTCTTTAAAAGACATTACAAATAAGACTCCATAAACTGCCGTTCACATACTTAAACACAGTCCCCTTAAATCCAGATATTATTACCGCGAAGTCTTCTCATAAAATACCGAACTGAAATATAAACTCAGATTAGATTTATTCTTGTGATTTCAGTGTGTGCATGTATTTTTGTGTCCAATCTCATAAGCTTAAAGGTTCATTGTATTTGAGGCAGCATTTATTTGGGCTTTAGGAAGTGGATTTATTTAAATTCAGTTTTTGTTCAATAAAGACAATATGATTTATGGTAATGCAGTTATGTATTTTATTCAGCTTGTTGTAGTAGTAGCTAGTTGTTCTAAGCTTGCTTCCACAGTAGTGATATTGTCATTGTGTGTTTGCTTCTAAAATAAACCAATACAGGTGGAAGTTATTAGAAAGGGTCAACACCTTGAAGGGATGGTCTCTTACACCTGAAACATATTAGCTCTATCTCTTACATAATTCAACATTATAACATCCCAATATATTGGCCAAGATTTTCATATCCCTAACCACAAGACTATTAAACAACAAAGTTGTTGGCAATATCCTGAAATGTATTAACTTTTTTACTCTTATGGTACTTATATAGTCATGCGAATGGCTTTGAACAAAAGATATTTAACTGAACTATTATGTCTTAAATCTACCTCTCTTTATCAAAGTGTGTACTTGATGATACAATTGTCAAGACCATAAACTGTAAAACAGGGTACACATATCTGTCACCAAATTCAAATAAGATGGTCCACCCATTTCTATATTCTAACAATAGATAGATAACAATGTCCGCTGTATGAATCAACTTTTAAAACCATTTTACATGCCACGCTAAATTACATACTGCATTCATGAAGTCAATGGCAGATCCAGAACTATTTATTTTAAATTGGAGCGAGTAGAAAAGACCAGTTAGTTTTGACTTAAAAATAAATATATTGATCTGAATAGGTTCTTTTGTTAAAATGTAGAAGCTGATAGACCATCCCCTTTAACTACAAGGTAGCAGTTGGTATACCATGATTGTTGCCATAAATATACAAGAAAGTTCCCCACAATTACTATATTCTTCCATAAGTTGACATTTACTAACCCTGATATGTCCTAGTAAAGAGACCATTCAGGAAATCGAACAATATACATTTTAGAGCACAACCACTATAAATATAAACAACATCCATTGGTCTTCTATTTTTTTCTTTTGAAAGTATTATAGTTTATAAAGGTTCCAAAGAGTAAAGACTATGTTAAGTTCCTGAGTTTCCTGCTAGTGTGGTATTACAAGTGGTTTTACCTTGATAAGTCCAGAAAAACTATGTCCTTTTAGTCACATGGTACCATCATAAATGGTTTATACAAATACAGACCATCTGCTAGAAATTAACTTAATATATTACCACCTCTAAACACACAGACCTTTATAATATAATCTACGTTTTTAAAAATGTGAAACTCCATCTGTCATCAAGAACTATTTCAGCATACAATCTTTGTAAAAAAAAATATGTTTTAACACCAATGGGGATATCCAATGGAGAGATGGACCAATAATGTAAAGAAGTTCATAATTCATACAGAAATGATAATTATATTATTTCCTAAATTAGTTTCCTCTAACAAATTAGATATTCAGATAGTACAAATTTTACTATCATAGTCCATAAATAATAGTGCTCTACATAATTCTAATTGTGAATTCAGAAGATACATATAGTTCTACTGGCAGAACTACTTATAGCCAAGAATCTAAAACTTTGTACTGACCTTACTTTTTCTACTCTACACCTTCTACTTGATAGTTTTACTACCCAATAAAAGATATAGTTTATTGTTTTCCAGATAAATACCACTCTGATCATTCCTAGCAACAATTAAGACGTTAATCACTGAGAAAATAGCTGATTTGATTTAGAATGATAATAATTCAGACAATGACCAGATAATTAAACTATCTGTCATTTCTTTTTTTTTTTAAATATGGGCAATGAGAATGTTTAAGATAAAGTAGCTTTAATTCTAAAGGGCAGTTACACCCCACATATCCATAAATACGATAAAGACAAAAATAGTGTAGCAGTATGGATTTGTGGATTTCACCAGGGCCACACACCTTAGTTACTAATGTTGCCATGGTAGAGTACTATCTGTACTTTCGAAAAGAGTAAGCATAATCTGACATATGTTACACAACCCTCACTACTATAATATGGAAATATAAGTTAGTGAAATAGATTATGATGATAGAAGACACAGACATGTAACATTTATCAACAATTTTCTGATGACTACATAATTTAGCTCTAGTGTTAAATATCTTTTGTCTCTGTACTAGTTTGTCTGCCAGTAATAACACACTTGAAATAATGATTTGTTCTGAAAATTAATCTTAGTATTTCAAGAATCATGAAAATAGTTGAACCAAGTTTATGTAATCTTGATCAAACCTCTTCTAATACATTCATATTTCACAGAAGAAAAAATTGGCTTTACTGATAAGAGATCATATAAATAGATGAACGTGATGTGTAATAAGGGCCAAAAATGAAAATCTTTAATCTATATCCTCCTTATTTTAAACATGCCAAATTTTCAATGTTACTTTGACATTATTGAATTTCGATAATGAATGTATTTAAGTTGATGTATGGATTCCTTGCATAAATGGACATTGTAAAATCAATAAATTAATACCCAGGGAGAAATATTCCACTCTATATTTATTCTGTTTCTGTTCAGAGAATTTGAGATACCTCATAATAAATGAGATAGACTTGAGTTAAGACAGAACAAATTGCTGTTATTCCCACTAGAAATATGAACATAACTTTAAGGCTTATCAAGTTGAACATACAGAATAATAATCAATATAGTCATGGCATATATCATATTTTATTGTTTCCAATTATGTATGCACAACAACAACCCTATCAGTATTCCACTAACACAAATCATTTTTTCTTCAGTTTCTACAAGAGACCATCTTGCTTCTCAAAGCAATTTTGGGTAATTAAAGCCCCAAAATATAACAAAATAAAGGTTCGATCAATTTAGAGTTTTATACCACACAATAAAAGTTCTTTAGTTAAACATAACATAGGTCTCAGAATTATTCAAATCAACCAATTCTATTTACAGTAATGCCATTTTACACTGGTTTCCAATGATTTTACAGCACCATCTGTATGTACAAATATAGTAATAATTACTGAACTATCTTTTTTGTACAAGCCAGATCATAGGACTTTATTTAAGTAGAACTGTTAATACTTGAATGTGCTAAATTACATATTAAACCAGCGGTAACACATTTTGCAAGATGTGGATAGAGAACAAGCTAAAAAAAACCATGTGATTTTTCATACAATCAGGGGCCATAATCCAAGAAGTTATGGTCTGAAATGCACGAATATCGAAAGGGACTGAAATATGTAAGATATGAAGACATATTTTAAGTTTCAGCAAAATTCCACAAAACTTGTGACCTCTAGAGGGTCCACAACCTTCGTATTACATACTTGTACACAATTTGCGTACAAGGAGCGGCCATTTTGTAGGGCAGTTTGGTAGAACGGTGATATGTTGAGACGGTTTTTAAAGTCTGATAAAAATTGTGTCCTCTAGAGGATCCACGAGCTAAAAATGTGATTTTTCGTACAATCAGCATCAATATTACATACTTTTACACAATTTGCGTTCAAGGAGTGACCATTTTGACGGGCAGTTACTGTCTGATTTTTAGGAAATTCGAACTCAATTATCATTAGGGTCTAACAATGATATATTTAAATGATTTTTAAAAACAGATAAAAAAACAAACTGAAATCGGGATTTTTTTGTACAAACAGGGGCCATAATCCAGGAAGTTATGGTTGTTATGTGCAAATATCAAAAGGAACAGAGATCTTTGGGAAAAAACACATGTTTTAAGATTCATCAAAATTGGATAAAAATTGTGACCTCTTGATGGTCCACAACCTTGATATTGCATACTTTAACAGTATGTGTACAGAGAGAGGCCATTTTGAAAGGCAGTTTTGGTCTGATTTTCACGAAATTCAAACTCAACCATCAGAATGGTGTAACAGTAATATATTTAAATTCGAACTCAACAATTATAATGGTGTAACGGTGATATATTTAAATGTTTTTTAAATCGGATAAAAATTGTGACCTCTAGAGGGGCCACACACTTAAGACATGATTTTCCGTTCAATTAGGGGCCATAATCCAAGAAGTTATGGTCCGATAGGCTTGATTATCGAAGGGAACCAAGATCGTAGGGTTATAAACATATATTTCAAGTTTCATCAAAATCGGATAAAACTTGTGACCTCTAGATAGAGTGTCCACAAGCTAAGAAAGTGATTTTTCGTACAATCAGGGGCCATAACCCATAAAGTTATGATCTGATACATGCCAATATCGAAAGGAACCAAGATCTTTGGGAGATAAATCTATCTTTCAAGTTTCGTCAAATCAAATAAAAATTGTGACCTGCAGAGTGTCCACAAACAAATTGTGGACGGACAGATGGACATATGCAATGACAATATATGTCTGGACATATAAAAACAATCTTTAAATATTTTTGTCTTTTGAAATGTATGTAATGATTTGTCATGGTTGTGCCATTATAAACCTAAAGAGAATGTAATTTAATGTATTTATTTATGTATCCTTTGATTTAAATCTAGACTTTGTACTTACATAATTATTTTTGAGATCTGGATGATCTTTTTCAATACCATCATCTAATATTGTTACAACTACTCCTTTACCAGTATAACCCATACTCCATGCATGTGACACATTCATATCTAAACCTCGTCCACGATTCTGAAAATATATAAATGGTGCCCTTAGCTACATTTGATGTAATTCATGTTTTATTTTTCACATAAGGATATGTTCAAATTGCACAAATTCCTTTTCTGTAAGAGAATACAACTTGAGATAAATTATGTCTAAAAAAATATTTTGAGATTAAAATTGTTCATTGATAGGAGAATTATTATGACAAATATATTTTTTCCAAAATCCAATTCGGCTTGAGTAGGTTCTGTAGCTGTCATTTTGTTGATAACTTTTCATTTCAACTTCTTGTATTATTCAAATACACCCTGTCTTAAAGTTGTCTTTACACAAAGTAAAATTCTCCCTTAAGATATTAAGTCTATTGTTCTTAAAATAATTTTACACAAAGCTATTGTGGAAACAGTGGAATACAAAAAACTTGTTCACTACATATGCAAATCATAAACTTATTAGTTATGTACAGTTTTTCATGTTTGAATTATTCATAAAAGAGAAAGTCTAGTTGACGTCAAGGTTACAGAATTATATACTAAAACATCATTTTTTTTTTCAAGCATAAAAATGAAGTAATGTACGATTATCCTGGTACAAGAAAATTTCAATACTATACAGGAATCATAGTATTAATGACATATGCTTTCAATTGCCATTTCCAATTTCGCAGATTTGTTGAACTTTCGGTCAAACAACAGAAATATAGTCGATTACCATGACAAAATGTTTGCTCATTACATAGCCTCAGATGGCTTACCATACCATGAGGGCGTGGTAAAGACAGACTATCATATTATACGGTAGAAACCCAAGGGTATACATATGTACCAGAGACTGGTTTTTATTCTCTTACATTAATCCACATGACAGCCTATCAGCTTTCAATCCCTGTGGATAGAGACCATGTGACATAATACTTGATGTATTAATTCAATCATAAACAATGTCTGAACTGACATTTCAACCACCGAGTTATATTCCAAGAGCTAAAAAAAATATATTTGAGGAAACAGATTGACAAATATTATGGTTTCCTACATAATTAATGCAGCCAATGTCATTGTAATCAAAATAAATATATTCCAATACAAAAACAAATATAATCCCTTGATGATTAAAAAATAACAATTTAAAATCACATATAACTTCAGTCAAGTGGCCCTTAAACAATGCGTGATGCTACCTGTTAAAAACCTAATATTCAAGAAGTATATATAAGATATCAAATTTACAGAATCGATGGCAAATACCCTTCTTAGTAAACTCTTGGTTACATATTTTTTTATTATTCTAAAACAATTTTATCTTTTTTTTTGTTTTTACGTGTTCATATTATAGACTAAATGGTTGTTGTGTGTCTTTTCGGCCTACACATTCTTTTGCAATGGAAATTCAGGACTGAGGAATAGATAGGTAGACATAATATATTGTTCTTTGTTCCTGTTTTAACCATGTCAACATCAATCAATCCACATTCTGAATACTACAATGTAATAGACATTTAGTTTAGTAAATGAGAATAATATTATCGTTTTTCTCTAGGGGAACATCAATTCTAGCTCTATAACATTGAAGGAGCTATATCCCTATTCTTTGACACCTAGAAATGGACACAAATGGGTCGTAATGCATATAATAATGTAATATGAATGTATACAAACTGATTTACATTTAATTGTTTCTGTTTTTACTGTAATTTCTAATCAGTTAAGTTCGGTGAAATACGCGCTGAGTCCAAATTGAATGGCAATCTTTGCTGTCTGGTTATTCCAGTCTACACTGGTAGTATTCGCCTGTGGGGTATGTTTAGCCTCACTTTATTACATATGCCAAGCGAAAGCATTTTGGCACACGATTCATGAGCCAATTTTAAAATTTTCATATTGGATATCAGAAGCCCATCTTTTCACAGTAAAATAATTACATCAATGTTGATTTAAATTGACCAACAAGTCCTGTTTGCAATGTTGAAGACTGTGGATGATATTGAGTTAATGACTTGCCTCCTTTAATACATTTTCTCTTAATCATCTCCTATCAACAATGATTTTGTTTACATGCTTTAAGTAATGAAATTATATTAGGTTATATACAATTGGTAAGTAGATAGTTTATATCCAGTGCTAACATTGGCTAATTTTCAAAGAAAAGCATATGTTAGGCACATGAAATAGAACCAGTTGTATTGGATTCTATCAGTTCATCATTAGAATAACATATGTTTTCTTTGGACAGAAGCAGAAACGAAGGTAATGGTACCTTATAGAAACCTTGTAACATTAGCTTAATGAAATAAATAGAAAGAAGGCAACGCTCTCAAACAATTGCAGCATAAACCATAAGATCTAACAAAAAAGTGAAACTGAATATGTTAGCGGGTAAAGTCTTCACATTGCCGGAAATTCTTCTTCTGATGTCAAGATAAACTTCTACCTGTAAAGTAACACACTAGAATCTTTAACAGGTTTCGACAAATACTGCCTATTATGACTTTACTTCTAATGGTAATTTCTTCTGCTACCCATTTTATTTTTGTGCAACCTAAAGACTGCTGGAGCCAAACTTTTGTTTGAAGTTCCTCAATTCTGCAAATGTCAAATTTTAAGAATTCTAAGAAAATAAGTTGCACCCTGCAATGGAAAAACGATTCAACTGACCCATTTTCTCTTCTTTTGTTTTTGAAAGAAATAAACCAAACATAAAAAGATGGATCTAAAGGTACCACAATAGAAATATGGCCTAAAGCAATCAATAATATACCTTCACCAATCTTATTAAATAAAAACAAAACATAAAAGACTTAATGGAAGTTTGTGATATGCGAGGTCTATCCCGGAGTTGTGCTTATTTTTATACAATATAATTTCAACATAAGAGGATAAAAACTGCTAGTTTATCTGTATTTATCAGTATCGAAACACCCACAAGATAATACAGGAAGGAAATCTACCCTTTCATTCACATTATAGCTCAACATGTAGTTTAATATAAGTTTCAGGGATAGATATCAAACACAGGTGGATTGTATAATATTTTGCATGGAATACAGACACAAACTATCAAAACCATGACCTCATTTTTATATGTACGGTTCTCTACCCATTTACCTCAGCAAGTGAACATAATTTATGACTATCATCTGTAAAGTTCCAAAGATATGTAAAAATATAGAGTTATGAAACAGACTCTTTGCAAAAAATCTATGAAATTGCAGACATCAGATTTCCAACTATTTATGTGGTTTAATGTCTTAATTTTCCAAACTATTTAGACATTTACTGTAACAATAAATAAGTTTGGCAAGTTGCTCTCAACACAACACATCAATCACATTGGATCCATGGACAGTTAGATGCGACAGAAATAGTTTGCATTAGGTTCATGTAAATGATGCAGTGCAATTTCAAATTGGTCTGTTTATACTGCATTATAATCTTACAATGCAGTACCTACATCTGTTTTACCTTAAAAAGATCTCAAAATTAGCCATGGAAACAAAATCTGGATCCATTTATCTTGGGACTAATTTAATTAATTTTCTCTCAAAAAACAATAAAATTCTTCTTCTTCAAAACATTAATTATTTCTTGACACAAAGGGAAAGCTGTAGTCACATTTTGATTGTCACCAAACATTGTTTTCAAATTCACCTACAACAAAAAAACATTTCATTTCCAGGTGAATGGCATTTTCTAGACAGAATCACTTAAGATGAAGTTTTGACATGGATGACATCGGTATGTAAAGGTGACAAAATTAGGGTTGGGTGCCAAGTGAAAAATGCTTTCTTGAGGCTAATGCTCACGAGCTAATGGATATTTTGAAGCAGAGAATAATTGGAGACAGATTTTAAAGAAATTCAAGTTAAAAGTAATTGTTTTAGATTGGAGGTATATGCATGACTGGTATTTTAATAGCCAATAATTATAAACTTGTGTTGTGTTTTAGTTTGCTGTTCAAGCACCAGATAATATCATAACATTGACCAAATGTCTAAAATTCTTTTAATTATATCCATTAACACTGTGTTTTGAAACTAACAAATGGCAGTAATAACATATAGAGATGCAATGAAAAGGCACCACTGATTTGACTGAAAATGTTGGCAAGATATATTGCAGCTGAAATGTGATTTGGAGGACATAACAACTTTACTCTATTGTTAATCTTAGCCACAAGGGGTAAAAATGAAAAGTCAATTATGAAGCAGAGTCAGAATTGGTCCACAGTTTGGCAGAGAATGATCAGTACTCCTGCCCTCTTGAATTAATGCCTCAGTATAGACTAACACTATTTATATATTCATTAGGACAGCTTTATAAATTGTTTTAATGGTATTTATATTTGACATGTATTGAACAAGATCCTTCCTTATAAGATAACATACAATATATACATAGAAATGAAATGAAATTAAATGAAATGGGGTTCAACGTCCTACTTATATACAAAGAGGCAACCATATTAGGTTTAATTTATTTGGTTTGTTCCCCTAAATTTTAAATACCGTACCTTCTTTTTTCTCAAAGAATTATGCTGAGGTGTGTTCAAGTTCTACTACCTATCTGTATCTCATTGTTATTCTCAAGTGCAACTTTTATATTAAGAACAGATCTTAGACAAGTCACATGAAAAACCAGTAATACATCTGCTGTTTTAACTACAAGCAGACTTATCTTCACTTAATAATTTGTCAATGTGAACATGGCACTTTCTGAGATAAAAATTCTAATTTGACAACAAACTGTATTGTTATGCACTCAATGTAGGTAACACAGTTTAAAAGAATGCTGGTGTAAGGTTGCTGGTCAACATGTGCGGGTGTATCTTCCAAGTTTGTTTCCCTTAACTGCAAGGAGATACAGTATGAGACTGCAATAAATTAATAATTCAAGGACAATCTTATATAGGCCTACCTTGTCAATTTATTTGTTCAGATCAAATAACCCCTTAAAATCTTCAAGACACTTAACTTGTTACCACAAGAGGAAAATAAATCAGATGAGCTGGATTTAAATTGTAATCCT